CCCACAGCTCTGCACTGATTGGAAGAAAGACGCGTCCCTCACCCACAGCTCTGCACTGATCAGAGGAGAGGCGTGTCTCTCACCAACAGGACTGCCAGCCTGCAGGCACCTGACAGGCGACAGAGGGTGCCAGCCCTGGCTCTATACTCAGAAATGCTCACACCAATAGACCCTGATCCTCACACTCAATCACACACGCACCAATAGACCCTGATCCTCACACACAATCACACACGCACACTCACACACACACACATACCAATAGACCCTGATCCTCACACACAATCACACACACACACTCACACACACACCAATAGACCCTGATTCTCACACACAGTCACACACATCAATGGACCCAGAGTTCTCACACACACTCACAGACACACCAATAGCCCCTGGTCCTCTTATACACACACACATCAATAGGCTCTGATCCTCACACACTCACACACACACATCAATAGACCCTAATCCTCACACACACTCACACCCACACCAAGAGTCCCTGCTCCTCACACACACTCACACACACACACACACACACCATTCCTGACAGCCGATCAAGGTCCTGTCTTACTCACACTCAACAGACCCGCCTCGCCAAGCGACCCGTCCTGTCTGCCAGCTCGGTGCCCAGCGTCCCCCTGCGCACTTACTCTCGGGACGGGGGGAATCTCGCGGTCTTCCTGAGCCCCTGGTGCGCGGAGAGTGTCGGTGCGTCGTTCTGTGCCGGGACGGTGGGAGGTGTCAGCGTTCTATATACTGTCCCTGCCCTCCTCGGTCTCTCTCTCTCTCCCTGTCTCCGCAGCATGAGCGCCACGCCTCCTCCTCCTCCCTCTCGGGGGCGCGGGCGGATCGGATGGCAGGGGCCGGTGTCGGTTTCCGTCCAGCTCACAATGGGCTCCAGGGAGGCCCCCCCCATGGGTGTCCCGGTTCCCAGGTACACCTGATCCCGTTCGTTCAGCCGCCCTCCGATTGTCGCGGTGACCGCGTTTTGGGAGGAAGTCTGCAGATAAGCATCTGGCGCTCAATGGCAGAGCGTGGATCTGGTGTCGGGGCGCCTCCTAGCCCCATTGTGGAGGCAGGGCGTGGGTGCCGGGGCTCCGGTGGGGAATTCCGAGCTCCCCTCGAGGGGGAGGGGGGTGCTACCGTGCCAGGTGAGTTTCTGTGGAGGTATTGTCCTGGTGGCTCAATGATGGGATGAGAATATCGTCTCCGTCCCAATTAGGACACAGAGATCTAGGACGTCTCGGGGTCAGCGACAGCTGAGTCTCTGTATCCCCTGTGCTCGACTGGCACGGTTAACCCCCTCCTTCGTTACGTGGGAAGGCCGCTGCTCGGCGGGCCATAGGCCTCCAACAAGGAGACGTCACTGGAGTGGATCGAGCACTCCTTCCCCCTGGCAAGTTCCAGCCCTGATGCATCGGCACAGACATTGCCTGCCTGGCTCTGAAGTCATTTCTCCAGCAGGTCTGAGATTCCAGTTGCTGGGGTCAGTGCTTTTACAGCAAAGATCTCCCACTGACAGCTGGATAGTCACATTATTCCTCATAGTTGATCAAATATTGGAGGCCTACCTTTCAGATTAAGGGCTGTTGATGCCCATGCCTTCAGATGTCCTCTAGTGATCTAATCTTAATGTTGATTAGGCTAATTAACGTGAATTAGTTCATTTTCTAAGATGTCCTTGCCCTCCTCATTCTTGCTCGGCCCCCAGTTTGGATCAGTTCACCTCGATCGAGGCAGATTGGCTCAGTGTCTTCATACCTTCTCCGCTTCTTAATTAATATGAACTCCTCACACTT